TCCTGGCAGTCCGGGTATCAGATGGCCAAAGAAAGTGGCCTCTATAGGGCAGCATCTCCCACAAATGACACCTGAAGGGACTTTAGAACAGTGTCTGGATTTTTTTTTAGACAAGGTCTCACTCTGCCACCCAGATTGGAGTACAGTGACATGATCATAGCTCACTGCAGCCTCCTTCTCCTTGGTTCAAGCTGTCCTCCCACCTCAGCCTCCCAAGTAGCTGACACTACAGGTGCACACTGCCACACCTGGCCAATATTTTTAACTTTTAGTAGAGACAAGGCCTTGCTATGTTGGTCTCAAACTCCTGGGCTCAAGCAATCCTCCTGCCCTGGCCTCACAAAGTGCTGGCATAAAAGGTTTGAACCACTGTGCCTCACTAGTGCCTGGCTTCATAAGTATTTGTGGAGTCAATTTGAGGAGTCCTGGGACACATATTAAAAGAAATTATAAGTATTCATTTAATATGTGCAGAGAAAAAATTCCTAAGTACATCAAAACAGTGATTCAAGGATATTTTAAAATTTTTCTTTAACATACGTTTATTTAAATTTAATAAAATAAGTCTATTTAAAGAGAAATGTCAAGTAAATAGTAGATAGGTGGAATAGTAGCCAGAGTCCTGAGTGTGGAAGGTCTGGGAACCGCCGTGGGAGGGGCTGGCCTTTGGGGCTGAGCGCCTGGAGCCTGGTTTCTGAGGCTGCTGCCCAGGGACTGCCTTAGTCCATTCTGTGTTGTTATGTAGGAATAGCTGAGGCTGGATAATTTATAAAGAAAGAAGGCTTATTTGGCTAGGGGTTCTTCAGGCTGTACAAGCACTGCACCAACATCTGCTTGGCTTCTGGGGAGGCCTCAAGAAGCTTCATGGTAGAAGGGGAAGGGGGGGCAGGTGTGTCACATTTGAGAGAGGGAGCAAGAGTCAGGGAGCAAGAGAGAGATACTAGGGTCTTCTTAAACAACCAGCTCTTGTGCGAACTAATAGAGCGAGAGCTCATTCATTATTGCAAGGACAGCACCAAGCCATTCCTGAGGGATCCACCCCCATGACCCAAACACTTCCCACCAGTCCCACCTCCAACCCTGGAGGCGACATTTCAACATGAGATTTGGAGGGGACACATATCCAAACTGTACGAGGGACTCTGGAGGGTCAGGAGGAAGGGGAAGGACTCTGGGCCTGCTGGCGTAAGACTTGAGCACTCGCTGCAAGGGATCGGAGTGGGAGCAGGGGTGCTTCTGCTTCTCTCTTGCAGTCTGTGCATTCCATCCAAGAAACGTGGCACCCAAGGCCAGAGGGACAGAGCTGCCAGGACTGCCCTGGGCATCAGTGGGTGATAATGAGAATCCACAGTGGTGGGCAAGACAAAGACTTATCTAGGGTCCACCTTCTCCACAGGCAGCAAAAGGACTGAATCAAGCCATCAGAGGTCTCACTTCATCGCGAGAGCACCAGGAGCCACTGAGGGCTTTTTTCATCCCAGGGGTAAGTGACATGATAGGAGTACCTCTAAGACCAGCAGAAGTACAAATTCTTTGGGGTGTAATCCTAAGTAAAAGAACTGCAGCTGTTTGGGTAACTGAGTGTGGTCTTTAGCCAATAACAACGATGTTCCCTCGCAAATGAGGCTTAAACTGGAAAAGGGGTCTAGGGTAGACTTGAGGGAGATTTGCTTGGTCACACGTGGGTATGCAAGGAAAAGTCAGACATCAGAGACCTCAGAGATCTTTCAAGAGAGACTCTGAAACCACTGGTTCTGTGGTTGACGAGAGGACAGGCAGCTCCCAGCAGCCTTCCTCCGTTTCTGATGCCTGTTTCCGATGGCCTTGTGAGTTTGCCATTGGAGATTCTGAGCTCATCACTGCCCACTTCCACACCTGGCCCCCATTCCTTCCCAGCTGCCTCCCCCTGGCGTGACAGAGACAAGACAGTTAGAACCTTGAGGTTGTTGCTTTTAAAATGTTGAGGCCAAATACTTATCTACAGGTTGATCTCAACCATGTTTTGAAAAATGTATGAATGTTCAGGAAGAACATGTAAAAATGTTAATAAAGAATGGTTCTCTCTGGATGGAGGAAAATCAATGATTTTTTTTTTCCTTAAACAGCAGAGAGGGCCGGGCACGGTGGCTCACGCCTGTAATCCCAGTACCTTGGGAGGCCAAGGAGGGTGGATTATTTGAGGTCAGGAGTTTGAGACCAGCCTGGCCAACTTGGTAAAAACCTGTCTCTACTGAAATACAAAAATTAGCCAGGCATGGTGGAGCACACTTGTAATCCCAGCTACACAGAGGGGCTGAATGAGGCAGAATTGCTTGAACCCAGGAGGTGGAGGTTGCAGTGAGCTGAGATAGTGCCACTGCACTCCAGCCTGGGCAATACAGTAAGACTCCATCTCAGGGGAAAAAAAAAATCAGAGAGGAGAAATGCCACCAAGATGAGACCCCCTAAGCCATATATACCTGGAACTAGCTGAGCTCAGATCTGAGCCCCTGCTCCCTTAAATCCCCCAAGAAAACAGCAGTGGCACATGAAGTTAGGTCAGCCCAGGTGATGACGTCAAGGTGAAAGAAAGCTCCATCTTGAGATTCAACAGAAAATCAAGCCAAGGCGGAAACGAGCACAAACAGGCTTTTTAGAAGAGGCGAGTGGGCCTGGAGCGTGGCCCAGGTTTTGTTGATAGAAGGCTGGGTCCTGCCCCTGTCCTCCTGAAGCACGCTGTCAGGCCTGTCCAAGGCAAACACAGCAGCAGCCTGATCCGGCCGGCCCAGGAGCAAACCCCACACCAGGCTGTTTGCCGACTGGGGGCCGTTCAGCTCCCATGTGGGGTTACTGGCTCCTTCCTCTGCAATATTTCAGTGGTGTTTCTGCTCTAGACAAGTCCTGATTTCACTTGCCAGAGGGTTCCAAGGTTGACTCCTCTCTCCAGCAGCAGAAAGGGGATCATTCTGTTTCCAGAAACTCAGACTTGTAAGCACCTCTTCACTGCTGATATCTGGAAGAGGAGACAATGAGTCCAGGCAACTCCAGGCCTTCCCCGCCTTTTGCCTGCCACACTTGGGAGCTGGCGAACGCGCTCCAGGGCGGGGTTTCTCAGTCGTGGCCCAATTGGCATTGGAGGCCGGATAATTCTTTGTTGTGGGGGCTGGCTAGCAGCATCCTTGTCCTTTCTAGAAGTCAGCAGCATCCCCTAAGTTGTGACAACCAAAAATGTCTCCAGACTAACGTCTAGGGGGGGCGAGTAAAATAGCCTCCTTTTGAGATCTGCTGCTCTACAGGAAGGAATAGAAAGAGACCCAACAAGGAGACCCAGGAAGCAGTGGGGGCAGCCAGGCTCCAGGGTGGGGCAGGGGCAGGGCTGAGAGCAGGAAGGAGAGACACTTGGGAGCTCCCAGAGAGAAAAGCAAATTGGAACCAGAAAAGGCTGTTTCAATAAGATTTTAGGCAATGTTGCTGTATGGTGTGCTGTGTAACTAACCTCCTCCCTCATCTTCTGAGGAAAACTTTCAGGTCACATCTGCATCACCCATCAGTGCTTTTGGAGACCAGATGTGCCTCCCCTCCTTTCCCTGTCCCCAACCCTAGATGGACAGGTTCTTGCTAAGGGCAAGGCCCTTCCAACCGGCCTAGTTACATTCAGGTTCCCCCAGAAATAGTTACGGTTCCAATGTCAGTGAAGGATGTACAGAATTTTTAAATATACATTTGAGAACCAATACGGTATCACCCTTATAAAAACATATGTCATTCTTGCTTTCTAATAATTCTTTTTCCAGGGAGAGAGAAAGGCATGGGGGAACAGCTGGGAGGCTGGTAACACCCATGGTGAATCAGGCATTTGAACACTGTTGATTGTGTTCCAGAAAAATCACATGATGGCTACTCTGGAGACCTGGGGCTGCTCGTGAGTCCCCATCCAGCACCTGGGCCCCCAAGTACGGTTTCTGAGAGCACCCTGAGATTTTCCATCAGATACACAGGATATATCTGCTTAAAGTCACACTCCCCTACCCCACTGTGAGCACTGGATGCATAGAAGCCATGTCTGTTCTCTTCATCATTAAGCCCTCAGCCTTCCTGGGCCCTGGCACATGGTGAACACGCAAAACTTATTTGTTAAATGAATTAAAGGATGATATTCTAGGAAACTTCTTACTTCCCTGACCGGCAACCTTCAACTCACACAGTAAGGCTTAAACATCACATCCTTTGGGAAGCCTTCCCTGATTTCTCCCAGCAGAAACAATTGTAGTATATATCCAAACACTCGGTTCATACTTTTATTGCAACATGCATCACAGTATATGGTATTCGTAGGCATTCTGCCTCCCTTGCCAGAACGTAAGCTATCTGAGGATAAGGACTGTGATGTATCATTTATTACCCCGACTCTCACCCATGCTTGGTACACAGTAGACACTCAATAAATACTTGTTCAATGCAAGAAGCAATAGACACACTCCTCTGTCCCCATTCTAAATCCCAGAAATCAAAGTTCAGATACATCGCAGTTCAAGTGTCTTTACAAAACCCAGAACCAAGAGTTGCTTTGGACACCAATTTTCTGGTTCTTTAACACAGGGAGGGAACATTTGCTCAGCCCCTCTGGAGGTTGGGCTGGCCTGGCGGGACAATGTGCTAGTGATGCGTCAGCCCCAGCATCTCCACTGTCTCATGGCTATGAGGCCTTTAGGGACCGTCAGAAGGCTTCTCTGGAAGCCACCCCACTGCTTACCCATACCCACATCTCTGGCTCAGAGCCCTAAGCCACAATAGGCTCTGTACTTGGGGAGAATTACAAGGGACTTCTGAGCATCTTCAGAGTTCCCTGTGCCACTGCCCCTAGTCCCCTTGGAAAAGGGTATCTGAGAACTCCAGCCAGTGCACGTGGAATCTGAGGCCTCATGCCACCTCCTGCTCACCAGAGCTCCTGGGAGAGAAAGTGGAGCCTGGGGCACCTGCAGAGGCTGTTTCCATCGTGGTCCATGAGCTTTGCCACCTACCTGGCTGAAGGTCAGGGTGAGGGTGCTTTCTGGAGAAGATCTGTCCCAGAATGAACCCTCCTGCTGACTGCAGTCCAGCTGGATCAGGCTGCGGCACTCTGGGTGACAGGTGAATTTGCAGTCTGGAGGGAAAACACCAAAGGGAGATTAGGGGACAGGCAGGACTCCTCCCCACTTTCACCCAGAAAAACAACCCAGGAGACTGCATTAGTTCCCAATGGCAAGAGCAGCACAGGAGAGAAGTGGAGGGTCAGGAGACAGCATGAGAATACACCCCGTTCTTGGAGCCTCCAGGAATGGTGCAAGTTAAGTGCTTTACATGTTTGCAAACTGTGTTTGCCTGCATTGCTTTGTGTCTCTGCGATCATTATTATTTCCATTTTATGGACAGAAAATTGGGGCCTAAAGACTTAGTGACTTTCTTGAGGTCAGATATTCTGGCTCCCAGACTGGTGCTCTTTCTGCCACTTTACATTAATCATCAGGGGTCATGAATCCCTGGGAAAGGACTTGACTTTTCTGGGCCTTGTATTGCTCATCTGTAAAATACAGGTTGTGCATCCCCAAGCTGAAAATCAGATCTCCCAGATGCTCCCAAATCTGAAACTCGTTGAGCACCAACATGACATTCTAAGGAAGTGCTCACTGGAGCATTTAGGATTTTTGATTTTCAAATTTGGGACACTCAACTGGTATCATACACATTCCCAAATCAGAGAAAAGTCCAAAATCGGAAGCACTTCCAGTCTTAAGCATTTCAGATAAAGGATATTCAGCCTGTATGGGTAATAGCTGCCCTGCCTGCTTCTGGTGATCAAGGAGGACATATCTTGAAGAATTAAAAGTGCTTCCACAGACAAAGGCATTATCATCAACAGGAAGGGCTCTTACCCCTCTCTGACCTGGCCCGGCTAGAATGTGGGGATGCGACTCTGAACCCAGCTGAAACAGCCCGCAGACCACACCCCAGATCAGGGGATTCCGTGAGGAAGCACATTCCATCAACAGTGTTTACTCCCATGGAGGCAGAGACTTAGTGACCAGAGTTGAAAAGAGCCTTGGAGACTACCTTAAAGATGGGGAAACTGAGGCCAGAGAGAAAACGTGAGGTGCCCAGTGACACACAGCTCATCAGTGGCAGCACCAAGGCTGCTAGTATTTTCCAGCTTTCTCAAGGGCTCTCTCTGGAGCCTCCTGGCCGAGGAGAGATGAGGTCAAAGGGGGCAGGAGACATGGAGACTCAGCGAGGCGAGGGGAGGGCAGGGCAGGGGAGCAGGGGTGGGGGGAGTGAAGAAGAGGTGGCAGCAGAAGAAAGTAACACAAGTCCATCTGAAGGCAAAATGCGTCGGTCTGAGGTCTGGTCCCCACAGGTAGCTGCCGGGTCAGTCGGGTAACTTGTCCCAGAGAAGTCTGAGCTCAGCCAGAAGGCCCAGCCTTCCAGGTGCTGGACACTCATGAATTTTCCTTCCTGATTGTGAAGGCACGTCGTGAGGATGGGCTGGGGTTGGGTGGGCTTTTGTGGCAGGAGACATAACAGCCTGGGCTTGATTGCAAACCCGGGGATTAGGGGACCACTTTTGGTTGATAAGGGCTTAGGCAACCCCAAAATGCTTTTCCTTCCTTCTAACAAGCTCCAAAAATTCAGTACCTTTGGTGTCTATTTTTAAAAGCCGCCATAGCACACTCTGTCTTGGGGGAGGGGTGGTGGCCCTTTTTCTCCCTGCTTTTGGGGAGCTTCAGAATGACATCCGCCCTCCCCAGCTGTCCCTACCCTCAATCCCCCAAACATAAGCACATGGGCTATGTTCCTTGCACAGGTTTTGCCACTAATGTCTGCAGGGGAGCACCCTGACAAATGTGGGGACATGCAGAGACCCCAGAACCTTCTTACCTGTGGCCTGGACCACCTTTCTGCAACAGCGTCTGGAAGCTCTACTACTCATCTCCCTTGTGCTTGAAAGCGAGGCCCACTGATATCCTCTCCTTCAGAGCCCACGACTGTCTTATCCTCCCTCCTCCTCTCACTTGGAGACAGAATGAATGCAGTCAATTCCCCGGGGCATGCACCCATCTACCTGCAGGTACCCACATGCATTTCTGGGCCCTCCGTGGGAGACCTCTTGCTCAGCACAGAACAGCCTCCTCTTTAATAAGGTGAAGGGTACAAAGGGAAGTGCAGGCCAAATGTCTGCCCGCAGTGCCCAGAAACACCAGGGCTTTGATAAGGGAGCACTGAGGCCAGAGCCCACAATGGAAGCACTGTTCCCGGCGCTGGCCCTGGGATACACCTGTGTGGCTCTGGTAGAGCTCTGAGTGATAAAGAATGCTCTGGGGATGCCAAGAGGTGGGAACAAGGAAGAGGAGGAAGGATTGAAAGCTCACCCAACTCCACGGTGATGAGAGCTGCCATAACTCACAAATGGGAAGGCACCGGGGACAGGAGGAAGTTCTCTCTGCTCCTCTTTCAGCTCCTTGTCCCATTGGCACAGGCAGCCTCTGTCCCTCTGTGCCTCTGAATCTCTCAATTTCCATCTCTCTCTCTCTCACACACACGCACCCTGAAAACAGCATCAAAACCTTAGAAAGATCTTTTTACAGGTCTGACGCTGAGCCGGGCAATGCTAAGGAGCAGACGCCTCTGAGAAGTGTTCTGGGATTTTATAAGAAGCATGTTTGAGCACTAAAGACTTTGTTCCATGGGACCATGTAATCACAGGCTGCAGCAAAACCTCTGAAGCACATTTTCATACTTCCCGGTCCTAGAAATGCCAAGCCCAGGGCTTTTAGGCCAGCAGAGATGAAGTCAGAGCCCCCATGCCTCTCTTCAAACCAGAAGCAACCGCCTGCAGGCCTGACGTGTTCAGGGACTGGGGAGACCCATGAGTTCCAAAGACAGGGCCACATTCCACCAGAACCCAGTGGTTAATCCTCCGCAGACCACAGTTCCCTTAAGGCAGCTCATCACCAGCCGCTGCCAAACCAAACCAACCCCTGCCCTTGATATTCCACTGTCCTCCACAGCCTTCAGCTGGTGCTCAATTTATGTTTCGTCTTTTCTTTTTGAGACAGGGTTTCACTCTGCCGCCCAGGCTGGAGTGCAGTGGCTCTATCACGGCTCACTGCAACCTCCACCTCCAGGGCTCAAGCAAGCTTCTCACCTCAGTCTTCTGAGTAGCTGGGACTACAGGCACCTGGCCTAATTTTTGTATTTTTAATAGAGACAGGGTTTGACCATTTTGCCCAGGCTGGTCTTGAACTCCTGGGCTCAAGCGATGTGCCCACCTCAGCCTCCCAAAGTGCTGGGATTACAGGTGTGAGCCACCACACCCGGCCACGGTGCTCAGTTTGGATGAGGAAGGAGGGAGGGAAAAGGGAAACCCTGGATGGCGCGCGGCTCCTAGGAAGGAAGGGCTCAGCCCTCCCTAGACAGCTAGTGCCATCACGTCTGGCAGCAGCATCAATGTCTGGAGCATGGGGACTTCCTCATGCTCTGCACTAGCCTGAGGGTGAGGATGAATAAGACAAGACCCCTGGGGAACCCAGGCTCGCTGGGCAGATGGGACCAAAATGGGAAAAGATAATGAACAATGGAGACGGCCCAAAGCAGGTGCCTGGCTGCAGCGCAGACCCAGGGAGCTTGCTCAACTAGAGAGAGTTGCCAGCCAGAGCAGGCACGGAGGGCTTCAGGGCGCAGGCGGCTCTGCAGAGCTTCTATGGGAGATCAGACTCCAGGTAACCCCTATGACCTTATCACAGGGGCCAAGAGGAGTCAGGGGACTCTGTCATCACTGAAGGGCTAGGACAAGGATCTCTCCAACAAGAGGCAACAGCAGATTAGGGAGCAACATTTGTAGGTTCTAACTGTAGTTTCTCCAGGAGAACAGGTATTTCTTGATATTGACATTGCCATCTGTAAAATCAAATGATCCTTTCCCCTTTCTAGCCTTTCCTTCCAACGACAGCCCCATCCCTATTCCTAGGGTATGCTTTGAGGCAAGTACATGTGCTTCCAGGTTTTGGAAGAGGGGCCTATGGAAATACATAAAGGGAACAACGGTAAAGAGAAATGAAGGAGACCAACCACAATAGGTGCCCCTCTCCCCAGGAGGGAGCCACAACCAGGAGCCAGGGAGGAAGGCCCAGGACCTCAGCACCCAGGACCACTATAACCAAGTACCATGAATGAACCAAGTGACTTAGGCAGAAAATGACTGTCTCGCAGTTCTGGAGGCTACACTGAAATAAAGCGTCGGTGGGACCAGGCCTGGTCTGAAACATGGAGAGGCCTGCCTTGCCTCTTTCTAGCTTCTGATGATCTGCTGGCATTCCTTGTAACTTCAGCCTCTTTGTCCACGTCATGTGGCGTTCTCCCTGTGCTTCTGTCTTTTTTTTTTTTTTTGAGATGGAGTTTCACTCTTGTTGCCTAAGCTGGAGTGCAATGGCACAATCTCAGCTCACTGCAACCTCTGATCCTGGGTTCAAGTGGTTCTCCTGCCTCAGCCTCGCGAGTAGCTGGGATTACAGGCATGCACCACCACGCCTGGATAATTTTGTATTTTTAGTGGAGACGGGGTTTCTCCATGTTGGTCAGGCTGGTCTCGAACTCCTGACCTCAGGTGATCCGCCCGCCTCAGCCTCCCAAAGTGCTGTGATTACAGGCGTGAGCCACCAACCCCAGCCTGTCTTCTTATAAGAATACCAGTCATTACCCTACTCCAGTGTGACCTCATCTTGCCGACACCTGCAACTACCATATTTCTGAATCAAGTTGCATTCTGAGCTACCGGGGGTTAGAAGTTTTTTTTCTGTTTTGAGACAGAATCTCACTCTCTTGCCCAGGCTGGAGTACAGTGTAATGACCATAGCTCATCGTAACCTCAAACTCCTAGGCTCAAGTGATCCTCCTACCTCAGTATCCTGAGTAGCTAGGACTACAGGTGCATGCCACCATGCCCCGTTGATTTTGTTGTTGTTGAAGCAGGGTCTCTCTATGTTGCCTAGGCAGGTCTCAAACCCCTGGTCCCAAGTGATCCTCCCACTTCAGCTTCCCAAAGTGCCGAGATGACAGGCATGATTCACGGTGCCCAGCCTGGGCTTTAGGATTAAGTGTATCATTTTTGAG